GCCTCAGATCTCCAGACTCAGTGGGCAGTTTCAGGAGCTGCTGACCTTATGTTTTCCTGCATCACATTTGTCTGGCCATCAGCAAGAGGGCTAAACATAAAGGTCACTGAGTCTGGAGGTGTGGAAAATGTCAGTGGCTGATGTATCTGGCTGGAAGCAATAATAGATTTCTGCTTGTTCTGTGGTATAGGGACCTCTGCCACCACGCATGTGGTGGAAAGCAGAGTGGCCCAGGCACAGGGGTAGCAAGTGAATGACTGATGCATAGGTCTCCACAGGGGTGGAAGCAGTACTGAGATGACCGGCTGCACGTATTGTGTAATTACCTGCATTATCTCTGCTTAAGGGTAAGTCCTGGCACAACGTTGAAGATGATCGTGTGGGCCTGTAGCAATTTTGGGGCGACAGTCTTCCTGTACCGGCTGGTGTTTCCAGGGCTGCTTTAGAGCTGCTCTGGCCTGGCCCTGGGCATCCATGACTTTGAGTCAGAAGTTCTGAAGTCATGGGTACAAGACATGACATGGGGAAACCTGGATGCTACTTCCCAGAAACATGTATAGACGCTTCTGTCCAGTTGCCCTAAGGGTAATTTATTTGAGCGTGCGTATCTCAGTACCATCACGTCTGGTGTCTCGACTTAGACAATAGGCCAGACACAGATGGACTGCAGGGGGATGAGAGGTGTAAGAGCCGATAGCATCTCCTTTCACGTGGGTGAGAAGAGCAACCTGTACATTTTGTATGTCTCATCTCAGGAAGAGGAGTGTTGGGTACCTGCCTTGATGGGCATCGTCAAGCAACAGAACATCAAGAAGCAGCCAGGTGATATATCCTGAGTGCGAGGATAGGGAGGTGTGTTCTGTCTGAGGAGGTTAGAATTATCTCAAATGACCGCTTCACCTTTTCCCGGGGAAAAAAGCTCAGCCTGCATGGATAACCTGAACTCTAGAGATGCTGCAGTTGTTGTGGGCAAAGGGTATAGTTGCACAGCCAAATCTTGAATAAGAGTAAGCTGTTTGCAAGGCTTTCCTGACTAACTCTACATTTCTGCGATCCTCATCTAAAACACAACCACCCATCTAGCCTTTGTTGCCAGTGGTGCTCGCTTTGTCCCAGATGGTCTGCCCACTTCAGTGGCGAGCTAGGGAGGTTAGCAGCAGAGAGATATGGAACGCGATGCACTAGAGTGAAATGGTGGTAGTAGCGATACTCACAAAGCCAATAGGACAGACTGGTTAACTTTCATGTTTCCTGCTTAGTCTACACGAAGAAGGCCCTAGGCAGTCAGGCGTGGTCTGGGTGTCCAAAATCAGCTGATGGGGGTCCACCTTGATCTGTCTCTAGAGTTAAAATGGGCTGAGATTCTCCAGTCACCTGGACACCTTTGCACTTGGCGTTGCTTTGAAAGTGCAACCATGTGAAAAGTGTAGGCACTGTGGCTGTGGCAGAGAGACTGCGGGGATGCCAGATGTGAATTAGCATCATGGGGTCTTCTTCAAATGAACTCGTAGCAGACTAGCAATCTCAGTGACAGGCAAAGCCAACTCAAATGATGATCGATCTCTCAGAAACCTGACAATTCCCCTTTAAAATGGGTGTAAATCTTGCAAAGAGACTAGTTCTCAGTTACGTGTATCCTATATGTGCATCCTTCATCCTTACAGTCATCCTGTAACTGGAAACTATAGCTGGGTTTCAGCAGGTGAACTGATAATTAGTCCTTGCCTGTCATCTCTGATGAAAGCTGCAGGAAGCGAAGGGAGTCAGTCTCTGTCCCTCATTTTCCTTTCATCCTTCGCGGAAGGACGAGTAAACAGCAGCATTATTCCTGTTCCAGTAATAGCCACTACTGTCTGCGTTAACCTTACAGGAATACCGGCAGCAGCAGACGGTATTGCACGTGCATGCTAGCGGCGTAGCAGTATTTCCTGCGAGGCACACATGAATATGCACCATCTCATTACTGTTATCTTGTACCCTGTAGAGTGTTTGCTTAGTGAACAGCAAAGGAATAAAAACATAACTGCCTCTCCCAGGCCCTATGTTTGGTATACATCACCTGATAACTATTGTGGGAAAGGCTCTCCTTTGCCATTGTGGTGTGTGGATCCCTTATCCTCCTGCAGGATCCCCCTCCCATTGATGTCAGAGGAGAAATATGTGAATGGGGGAAAGGGCAAAATAAAACAGCGTAGAACAGGAAGAACTTTGCCCAAACGCAGAAAATACTGCTGGGTGTCGGCAAATATCCACGCCTGCTCTCCAGCCTTCCCAGCCTGTGTGTCTGCAGTCAGGCGGAGGGAGGCTATTGGTCGTTGCACATGGCTGGAATGGGGCAAGCCTTTGTTTGGTGTTGGAGGAGGAGGTTATTTTTTAATTTGTTCCTTGCAGGTGTCTGAGTTTTGGCCTTTCCTCTAGCTGGAAAGCGGTGTCGCCTTCTGGAGCAAAGAGAGGAGCTGACCCGTCTCTTTCATGTACCTAGGTTCGAGTTTCTCAAATGCAAAAGCTGGGTTCCGGTAACTCTCAAGCTGGGAACTTTAGTTAAAAATCAACTGCTCAGATTATGCTCAGATCAAGGAAGTATGCAAGCTGAAACAGAAATATGTAGGCTAAAAGATGGTCAGCTGAACTAAGTACGATAGAAGTGGGTATCTTGGGTACCTCTAGCATATTTTGCCTTAACTTATGTTGGTTACTGTCATCTTGCCATAGCTCGCCAGACAGAGATGACAGCAGCAGTACGTGGGAACAGGAGGGAGCCTCGGGTCACTAACTCTCGCTAGTCTCAGGATTTCAGTATCCCTTCTTGCAATGATGTGGTGTATGCTCAGTGGGACAGAGCTGTCCTGTGCCACAGCCGCTCCCTGCCAAGGGAGCAGCTTAGTCCATGGAGCACGCCTGAAATGTCCCTCTAGTTCCTGGGAAGAAGGACTGACTCGGTAAATCTTCTTTTCCCAGCATCATTTGGGATACCGGGTCCCTGGCTGAAGATCAAAACCTGCTGTTCTAGCAGTGACTGAGCTGCCACCATCTGTCAACTGATGGCCTCATCCTTCAAGCACTTTAACTTTCTGTCGTAGTGACTCAGATGGGCCTTACAGAGGCGTTAAACTGCTTCTTCTGCTGAAATCTATAGTGAGCACAGTGTTGGTTTTTAAAAAAAAAAAAAAAAAAATCCCACCCTGAAAGTAAACTCGCTGGTCCTGCCCCGTTGGAGTGAAAGGCAGGTCCTGCTGAGTCACGCTCGCAGGCGCAGGTGTCTCCAGCTCAGTCTCCTGGTCAAGTCCAGATGCCGGCATCATTGGTCTGTTACCATGGCGCTCACTTTGGCGGACCCAGTCTTTGTCCTTTCCTCTAAAGCTTGGTGGAAAGCTGGCTTATTAGCTTTGCAAGGAATGCAGCGCAGCGGGAGGTAAGGGGAAGGAATGGTGTTTTTAAAGAAACACACACGCACAAAAAACCCTTGTCTCTCTTTAAGATGGATATCCCTGCTGTTCTTGTATCTAGCTGGAATAAAGCTTAAAGGAAGCCGGCTAATCACCCAGATGTAGATGCGCTGCAGGAAATCCATAAATCACTACTAGATTTAACTCTGAGATGTAATGAAACTTTCTAATAACTGGAGTTGAATTAGAGTGATCAAGAAATTACGGAGGCACACTCCCTCCATTAGACGTGCATGACCTGACAAGTTAATAGAGGCAAACAGCCCAAAGACACAAATTACAGACTTCTGTGGAATGGGGCTGATGACTAAGCAGTTCATGAGCAGGTTACTTTGTGACCACAGCAGGAGTGTTAGCCAAGTGGATTTCCTGGCCAGCTGGGGCAAATATTGACTGTTCCTCATGGGCTAGCAATGAAGCTACAAGTACTTGTGTCGGTCTTCAAATCCTGTTTGGAAACGTTCGTTTAACTAGTGCAATACCTGAAAGCTATGCCCGTGCAGCACCATACAGCCCAAAAGGTGTCCAAATGCTTTATAAGCTGAATCTCTGAGAGGAGGGAAGGAGCGCCCTTGCTCCCCGAGGAAAAGCAGCCACCGCTCTGGTAGCCGAACTCCTCGGCCTGCGTGGTGCAGTTGTCTTTAGTGTGGGTGGTGAAGGAAGGACAGAAATGTACTCATTTTCTTCTGGGGTTCCGCTGAGATAAGTAGCACTGGCCCAGGACCCGTAAAGCGGTCAGTAACCTCTACAACCCAGTGACTGCCTGAGGAGGGTTCAGTATCTTGTGTTAGCTGTCTTTGCAAGTGCTCTTTTAACTGAAAAACTCACAAGAAGAGTGGGTACTATTGCAGGAACTGTCCAGCCTTTCAGGCTGGTTACAGCAAGTAGATGGCTGAGGAAGCTCTTTGCTGCTCAAGAGCAGCTTTTGCGCTAAGCCTGCCTCCAGCAGTCTGTGGTCTCTGAAGCCAGTGGTGGGGCACCGAGCCTGGCTCTGCACTGACCTGGTGTGCCGAGTCACCGGCTGCACTGACTTGCTGAGTCCTAGGAGATTTCTCCCCCTGGAGTCTTGTGACTCAAGGACACCCTGATTTTGATCGCCAAAAGAACTCCTCCTGCGATGAATGCTGGATTGTCACGCCTAATTGTGCAACCCTGGCTGTGTCCCTTGCACAGGTGCCGTGCCAGACTAGTCAGAAACCCAGCATAATCAGAGCTGGCCTAAATTCTGCCTCTCCTGTGTAATCTCTCCAAGCCTGGTCCTGCCCCGTTTCACTCAGAGTGTGGGTGAGAGGTGGTCACAGACACTGACTTTCTGTTTGACCTCTGTTTTACGTTAGAAGCTTGTTTTTCAGAGACATTTCTTTGGGCTGCCTTATACAATATAGGCAGCAGATCTCTCAGATGTATATTTTTGCAGCTTACAACACTGGGTTTTTCCTACTAAGATAAAAAGCTTCTGTTCTTCGTGTATTAACTTATTGAGTACACCAGCTGAAATACTTAACTATACTTGAAAAGCACCTGGTTTTGACTCTTCTTTTTATTCTCTTATAGGTTACCTATTGCAGGCAGTCCTGGGCACAACAGTGATCCCATTATGTGAGCCTGGTGAAATGGAGAACTGCACAACGGCACTGAGTAAGTGTACTGCACGGCTCTCTCTATAAATAACAGGCCTTTGGTTCCCATCTTCCTTGGGCTGGTGACCTCAGTGAGGTGCCCTTGGAAATCATTTTTCTGTTGAGAAACATTGCCAGCATCCCCCCAGGTGCTCAGTGTTATTGAACAAGAACCATTTTTTAGACTGAATTTCCTTTATTATTGCTTCTTCAGCAGAAGAGCTCTGTCTGAGGTGAGACCTCTGCTGTAAAAGCAGAAATAGCTGATGTGGAACTCGTGAAGGAAAAGCCAGTGTAACCCTGGCCTGGGAAAATCCTCTCCCTGTTCAGAAGGCTCTATCAGTCATACTTGTAAAGCTTGTGTGTTGTTCGGGTAATAGAAAGGGAAAATAAGGCTGATGAGATGCTAACAAGATCTCCTCGCAGTCCAGACAGAGAACAGTCCACGTGTGGCTCAAGTTGGGATAACCAGATGCAAGCCTGAAATGAAGGACTACTGCTTCCACGGACAGTGCGTGTACGTGGTGGACTTGGATGAGCACTACTGCAGGTATGGAGAGGGCGCAGCGCGTCCGGCAGACCTCCCTCAGGTGGGCTGTGAGATGGGCTGTACGTGGCCTTTGATCTCGCTGCTGTTGACACTTAGCTGGAACACCAGTCCAGCAAAGTATTTAAAAGCTCACAGAACTGAAAACGAGCAGTATATCTATAACCCACCTCAGCTGCATTTAAGCAAGGGTTAAGCACATGTGCTGGCTCCAGTGAAACTTGGATGAGAGTCTCGCACACCTGAAATGAGTTACTGACCCAACTTAAACTTGGGACACATTCTGACGTGCTTCCCTGTTAATCTTTGTTTGCAGTAGCGCGAGATCCAGAGCTCAGGCAAAGCAGCAAGATCTCTCTTTTGATTCAGCCGACAAAATAAAGACCCTCTAGGCATTTTTAAGGTTATTCCTTGTTTACTTGAAGAATTTGCAACCATTTCTAGGACCACACGGGCTTCAGTTTAATCAGTTTAAATTGCTTGTCCCTGAGGAAACAGCTATGCAGCCAGCAGTATAGCATACTTTGCGGACTGCTGAAGTGTAATCCCACGGCAATGTCTCTAATTCCGTGTCTCTTATCCTCAGGTGTGACCTAGGCTTCTCTGGTGTCCGATGTGTGCATTCAGAACTTGTCAGACAACCCCTCAGTAAGGAGTATGTGGCACTGACAGTTATCATAGTTCTGCTTTTCCTCACTGCCATCTCTATTGCAAGCTACTACATCTGCAGAAGGTAAGAAAGATTTTGTTCGTGGCTCAGGAAGGGGAGTCAGCTGTATGTGTAGTGAGGCGTCAGCTGAGTACCTCCAGATAGACTGGAATACCTACAGCTCGCTTGAGTGCATGGAGATAGTTTGATATACAGACCTGCTAGCCTGCACTTAGTGAAGTGTTCAAAAAAGGAAGTACGCTGACTGCGTAGCATAACCCAAATCGCAGGCTAGGCAACAGTACCCTCGGATGCCTTTTAACCCTGACGGAGGGCTGTATAGGTTAGTTCAGTCACTCCTTAAAGGGGGTGTTGAGGTAAAGCAGAGAGCAGATGGGGAATAGGAAAATTCTAGTCCCTTTTCTTGGTAATGCCATTTCCCCAGTCATCAGGAACTGGGGAGCAACTGGATTAATACTAGCTAATTTGTTTATCTGCCATGTTATTGTGGTGACTGTGATAGCACGAGCGTTGCCTTATCAGCTTTACCATGGAGGACAGTAGTCTTCTCCATGAACAGACCCACAAGCAGCAGGAATTGTTCTTCAGGCTAATAATTAATCTTAAACAGCTGTCAGAGAGCCAAGAAGGTGGAACAACCCCCAGAGGGAGAGCTCTGCTTCACAGATCTGATAGCCAGATGGTAACCACGGTAATTCCTCTTCCCTACCTGAAGAGTTGGTGGCACGTCATCTCAAACAGAAGATGGCCTAGTTGGTTAGGGTACTCGGCCCGATTGCAGGGCAGGGTCCAGCAGGATTTCTCAAAGACAAACCTAGTACCAGCAGCAAGACTTTAATGCAGATGTGAAGTCTTCAGTGAAGAGTTGAGAAATGAGACTGCATGCAAGTTATCTCAGACCTGGAAATGAGCACAGACAGAGCCTAGCTGCTAGAGGTTTAAAGCAAACGTGAGGAGGTCATACAGCACGTTTTTATTTCCTTCACCCCACTCCCCTTCACTCCCCAAAAAGCCATTTGGAACAACTGGCTTTCCAGAACTCACGCTTCTCTTCTCTACTTCCAGGTACCGAAGCAAGAGGAGACAAACGAACGCCAGCGAATACAAGGAAGTTGGTTCCCTGTAGAAGAAATGGTGGCTTCCTACAGTGTTCTGTTCATCTGGATGGACTCAGTGGCTTCCCATCTATTTAAATGTTATTTTTATTAACAATATTTACAATATTTATATCCTTTTAAAAATTTCAATTGTTTGGAGATCCAATCAGTATAGGTCAAGCGTTTTATTTTCAGTGTTTTATTTTTTTATGAAATAATATTTCCTAATGAGAACCCCACCTAAGTGGTTCTGTGGGATAGAGATATATTTTTATAAAAACTCATCTTCTTACTCTGAAGAGTAATTTTATATTTATTCTTGTGAATATGCTCAAAACAATTCTACTCCGTGAAATAAAAGTTCTAGACGAAGTCAAAACGTCTGCGTGGTTTGATTGAAGTGAAACTTGGTGTGGCTTGGCTGAGCAGGATGTTTGAGGCCCCAGCAGTTACTTTTGGAGAGAGAAACCATAGTCTCGCTAATAATACGTATCAATGCACCTTAGCTGCAATGGACATAGCTATTAGCTGGCGTAATTGGAGGAAGACTTAAAGGAAGAAAGATCACAGCTCCTAGTGCAGCCTATCCGGCATGCACCGCGTGACAGCAGCGTGGATCTTGGCTCGTCCATACCCTCGGGAAAGTTGTGCTGGGTATGTTTTGGATTACAGGAGGGAGGCGGCAGCAGTAGTTGATCGGTCTCTGCAGCTGAACGCAGTAACACATGGCACCTCAGGGTATGAGCGTAGCTACAGGAAGAAAGCTCCCTCAGAACCAGTACCAGCACTGGAGTCCTCCCCGTAGCGTTTCTCCCACAGCGTCTATCGTACAGCTGGGAGCAGGGGAAAGGAAAGCTTTTGAGTTTGGGCTTAATGTAGATATCTTGTTGGCCTAAAATAATGATAGCATAGGCCACTGGGTTCAGCTGCGCTCCAAGTGTGGCTCCCTGTGAACGGGACGGATTCTCGCAGCATGTGAATCATCCCTGTTAATCCCATTGCTTCTCACACTTTCCAAAGAATGAGAAAAAGCACAACCTTTGCGTCATGCCCGGTCTCTGCCAGAGGTCCATGCGAGCTGCGTTGGCCTGCATTGCTTGGTGTTTATGGGCATGAGACCTGTGATCTTTTGACTGGCGCAACAGGATCTTTCTAAGAAAGAGCGGTGGGACCTGAGAAATCACAAAGTGAGAGTGTGATCTCAGAAGCTGTCAGTCAGCCAGAGGCCCTCGTGCTCTCTCCCTCTCTGCTTAAACTGCCCTCCTATATGAGATGCTCTTGAGATCAAGCAAACAAAAGGGGGGATCTTATTCTCTAAAGTGACTTTCCTTGCTTTTCTTCTATGTGTTGTCCAGTAACAATTTTCAGCTGAGCTTGTATGTAGCAGGGCTTAAATCTGCCTTGCATCATCCTGTAAAGTAAAGCCTGTCTGTGACCTGCCGTGAAAGGGAACCCGCAAGCTCATCCGCGCATGCGTGCAGCAGTCGGGCAGAAGGAGGCCGGTTGTGACAAGCGGTTTGGCCAGCAGCGGTCCTTGGGAATGTAGCTGTGGGTCTCCTGGCCGGAGAACAGAGGGGCTGCGAATGGGAAGTGAGGACGGTCGCTGTAGTTGGGGCTGGGAGGCAAGGTGGGAAAGGCTTGTTTGGGTAGATGTGGCACTTGGGGCCATGGTTTAGTCTACCCTTAATTGGGTTAATTGGTTTAGTGTGGACTTGGTAATGTTAGGTTAATGGTTGGACTGGATGATCTTAAAGGTCTTTTCCAACCTAAACAATTCTATGATTCTATGAATGCTCTGCCCTGGCCATGTGGCCTATACCCCTTTCTTTGGAAAAGATGAATTGTGAAACGATAGCTCTGCTTCTTTCCCAGCTTTGATACTTGCTTCTTGACTTGGACTGATTTTCCCTGCTATCTTTCCTCTGACAAGCACCAACCACAGCAAAGGTGTGGTCAGGCAGGCCTGGGGTGTGACGAAACAGCTCTGCCCAGAATCTGCCAGTTTTCATTGCACTTCTCTCCCCAGCGGGGAGTGCATGAGGTGAGGAGGAGGAGGGGTGTCTACGTAGCAAAACAAAGGTGTGGTCTGAGCAGACCGACATGACACATGCTAGATCGCTCCAGCAGCGCACAGCAGGAGCGCCCAGATGCTCCAGGCTGCTGCATCTGAGCGCCGGTTGCAAGGCTATGGCCTGGGATTGAGTTTCTTTCTGTGCTGCTCGCTCTGCTGCGTTCGCTGCAGACCTTCTAGCACGCGCTGCTCTCGTGGTCTTTCTCTGGCAGATATGCCACCAGCTTCTGAACGTTGCAGCCGCAATGTCATTTCTGCCTGCCGCAGGCCTGCAGGTAAACGAAGTGCAAGTGAGACCCAGGCCTGCTTAGCCAAAGTAAGCGATGCTTTGCTCATCGGCTTTTCTCAGGAGGAAAGCTTGACCAAGTGATGCTGACCAAAGACAAGAAAACCTTCCAGATCAAGTATGGTGACACTGGGGTGGAAGGGACCCCCTTCGCATGTCCTTGTGGCTGCAGGCAAGCTGGCTCTCGCTGTTTGACTTGAGCTCTGTCGCAGAGCAGCCTGTGTTGATCTGGCCGTGGGCTATCTTCCCCATCTCTTTCAAACGCTGATTTATCCTGTAGGGTTTATGCTCGATGTGCTGGCTCTGCGCAGGCAGCCTTCTGAGATAACTTAAGCGCTCATTTTTGGCAGTGCTACGGGCCGGTCCTTATCCAGCCCTCAGTGTGGGTCAGTCAATGTTTAAGATGGGTCTGGTTGGTACAAATGTTTCCCTGGTCTGCCTGGTCCTTTGTGTCTCCCTTCAGTGTCGAGTTAGAAGTGGATCGCTGGTCATTCCCGGTTAACTAGGTTAACTCTGTGTCACAGGGCTCTTATTAGCTGCTCTTCAGCTTTTCACTTCCTCTCTCCTTCTCCTGTAATCCAGCTGTCACACAGGAACCTGTTCTGCCAGGTGACTGGTGACAGCTAATGGCAACCCCGGCCACAGCCTTGTTGTTAGCGCAGCCTTTCCCAGTGGGAAGATGGGGTAAAAATCCATTCTTGCAGCCTCCTTCCATTCTTGCTGTGACCCAGTTAGGATACGTGGTGACACATCTTTGTTTCCCTCTCAGGCTTCCCCGCCTGTCCGTGAACTGCTCTGGCCGGTCGCTGTTCATCCTCCAGAAACTTTTCCTGGACTCCCAGGAGAGACTCAGCCCAGAGGCACGCGCAGCCCGGCCGCGCTTTTGCTTCGACTCCCACACGCTGCCCTTTCCGCTTCTCGGCTCCACGTGGCAGGAGCATCACAAAAGGGGACTCTGTCCTCTCACCCCACCTTCTGTAAATGATGACCCCCTGTGTTTGGGGACCCCTTACTAGAGCTCCAGTGGCCGAAAGGCTTCAGAATCTACCCCTGCCCTGCTCTCTGCCAGCCCCTCTGCGCCTGAGCAGCCCCGGTAGCTAAAGATGCATCTTTCCGCTGCAGCGCTTTGGTCCACGTGCCCGTTGCTGCACTCGCAGAAGTTCTAAATTGCAGTAACAGCAACAGCCTGGGGTTTATCATGCCTTCAGCTATTGGGGTCGGGCAAATCTAAGAGGAATAGTCCACTTTCAGGCCTGTGCGGGATTTGTTTGGTTTTTTCGGTCCGTCTTAACTTTTAGCTGACTGTCTTGATTTGGCTTGGGCTTTCTCCACCTATCCTCTTGCTCATCTTACTCCCAGCCCATAACAGCCCTTCCAGACGCTGTGTTTTTCTCACTCCTGCACATGATTGAGCAACTGGAAAGCTTGGGGCCACATACCAGCCTGCCACCTCAACAGCTTGTGCCGGCTGGACACAGATTGCCAGTCCAGCAACCACCCAGCTGGGTCCTGATGACACACCCCAAATAATTTGTCTCAGAGAGTGAACCTCCCTCATTCTTTCCATGGTTTCTGCTGGCACCGCCTCCATCCCTCTGGCGCAGCTCTTCCTCACCCGCACCGCCCACCGTCAGAGTCACCTTTGGCTGTAACTCTCTTTCCGCTGGTGAGAGCGCCTGCGGTGTGCCTCCGAGGTTGCCCTGCCTAAGCCTGCCTTACCAAACGGCTTCGCCTCCTGCATGGGTGTCACAGGCTCCTGCCAGGGCAGTTCTCCCCTGCCCCTGCCAAACTGCATCACGGCAGAGTGGGCGCGTGAAACAGGCGGGGACAGGGACTAGAGACTGGTCCTGGAGAGACCCACCTGGTCCCGCAGCCATCTCCACGTCCTCAGGGCCACCAGCGTATCGCTGTGCAGTTTTTTTCTGCCTGGGACGCTTTTGCTGGCAGCTGTCTGGAGGTCTGAGCAACCACAGCTCCTACCCGCTGCAGCGGTGCTCCATTTGACATCTCCCTGTCATTTTAACACTTACCCCATCCCAGACCTGCCCTGTCAGTAACCCTGCTGTGGGGTTCTTGCCCACAAGTCTGTGTGTTTTATCTGAAACCCATTCCAGCCTCTTGAGATTCAGGCGAAGGAGAACTGATGCTTGCTTTCAGGCCTGGGGCTGTCTGACCTAGAAAGCAATGGCAAGGACTCCTCCCTTGGTGCTCTGCGGAAGGACGGTCCTTTTTTGAAGTAAGGCTTACTGTAAATTCTCTGAAATGCTATTCTTTTGTGCAAATGTTACCGGTGTTAATATGCCCCCTGGTCACAACATATCTGCTTCTTTTTAAGAGGGCGTCAGAGGAAAAATCTTTCTAAAAGCAGCAGCCAGCCACAAAGCTGCAAAGAGATCAGAATGGGAGTAATCACAGTAACTTAAGCCATCCATCACCTTATCCATCTCGAGGGAGAAACTTTTTCAGCATCTGTGGCGTGCTCGCTGTTACCAAATGGGGAATTACCATTACCACAATGTCCATGGCTACCGCAGGGGTTAAAACCAACCCTCCTTTAGTACACCGTTCATCCGTCGCCCACACAACAGATGACATGGCAATGCAAATGCATTTAACTTGGGAGACTGACCTTTTTCTCTCCAGATGCCGTCTCTGCCTGTTGCGTGCTTCAT